ATGGGTGTGTAAAGTAATAGGTAGAGCGATCTGTCACTTGTTGTATTGAATCAAACAGCGCATGGTAGGGATAAGGTGACAAGAGGTAGAGAAGGTGACATTTCTCATCTAAAATAAAAGCTGTGTATATCTAAGTTATCCTACACCCCGTGTGCGCGTGTGACGCAGGCACACTGAGGTGACACTATCTGATATGTTGTTTTTTTGATTAGAAATGAACGTTAAATTATTTAAATAAAAACATATATTATCATGTATCTATGAGTAACATGTGTCATGCAGTCATGTCAAATTCTACAGTAGTATAGACAAAAATCGTCTTCTCGAGTGCGGCTTTTTCTATTACTATTGGACTAGGAACTTGTTCTTATTGTAGTTTGTAGCGACTATTTCAGCTATGTGCCTGTATGATCAGGCGATTATCTCATGCAATAAACTTTATTTGAATTTGAATTTGATATGTGCTGCATGACTGTGTCTGTTTACAGGGGTCGTGCAGCGACCACGACTGGGAATCCTGGGTAGAATCAATAGACAGCATCTCACACACCTACCGTCCATCCATGGCAGACGAACTTCTAACGAACGCTGAGTTCATCGTGCGGTGAGTGACTCTCACCTTCATTCCATCGATCGTACGATGTGAAGCAAGGTTTTCACGTTTTCCTCACCGACGTGTTATTAACTTTTCGATATACTTGAGCGGTGATCTTTTGAGAAAGCTCACATCAACATCCAGTGTCTCGTTTGACACAAATTGTTCGTTCCCATTTGATTTTGATCGATCGATTGTACGTCAGTGTAAATTGCTATTTGATTGATCGATTGCATTTCGATTTTACTAGCTACAAGACAAGGATGTCTATATCGGCTAACCAGGCCTGCGTTGGCATCGCTAGAGGTTGCTCCACGTTTCACCAACTACTGGAAGTTACGTCACGCCTGATCAGCCAAACAAGGTACGTGTACATTTATATATATATATATGTATGTATATGTATATGTATATATATATATGTGTAATATATATATATTTAAATATTATATATATATATGTATATTTCTGAGCTAGCTTTGATTTATATGTGATTGTTGCTAGTTCGTGTTATTAACCGTGGAAGGAGATCAATGGATTTATATATATATATACATACATCATACATGTACATACATACACTGTACATACAGGTTCAGATTCACATAGGGTATATAATTATTGTCGATTGCACATACAAAGTGTGACTTTGACAGCATCACTGACCTGTAATTCTTGTGGTTTATGACCTGCTAGGCAGCTAGGGTTTAGTAACGCTTCTCTAATTATTTGTCTACAGATGTGCAGACCGGCTTGTTGGGTTTTTGAAGACGAACAAGGTGTTACCTAAGATGGTGAGCATCGTAGAGGCTGTGCTCAGCAGTAAGGATGCCATGGAGCAGCCGTGGGTTCACCGACTGCTCAGCCATCTGCTGGAGGTTATTAGAGCTATAGTGAAGTGTGAACCGTGCTGCAATGATAAGGAGTTTACAGCCAGGTAATCTGGTATATATAATAATGTAGAATATATATGTACATATATATATATATATATAGACAGAGAGAGAGAGAGAGAGAGAGAGAGAAGAGAGAGAGAGCAGATGAGAGACGAGAGCGAGCAGCCAGAGAGCAGAGCAGCGCCCCAGCAGATTAGAGAGAAAAGAGAGCAGCAGCCATGAGCCAGCAGCCCAGAGAGAAGAGACAGAGTACGAGCAGAGAGAGCAGAGCAGCATTTTTTTAGCAGCAGCCAGAGATGAGAGCCAGAGCATGAGTCCAGCAGCGCAGCCCCCTGAGCAGCCGCAAATGGCAAGCAGCCCGACGACAGCGTCATTGAGCTCGCAGAGCGACGAGAGCTCGAGGAGCGCAGAGATAGCGACGCCAGCAGCAGCAGGAGAGAGAGAGAATGAATCAGTACGCCTGGCTTCTATTCTCATGTGTATTATATGTACATCCTCTTTAAGTTGTATCATGTCCATGTAATGATAAACCAAATATATGTTTGTTATCGTATATGTTATTGTTTAGTATTAATAATTCTCGCCTGCGCGTCTGGAATCGCTCAATCTTTAGGATTCTGTGTATTCGGCCTAGCCCATGTTGCAGCCCAGTTCAGAGTGTTGTCACCTCGTCCCTGCCCTGCTATCATTGTGTGAAGACACCAGACCACAGCTGGACAGCAAACCAAATGATGCGCCCGCACGCCATTAACAGCCTGGCACAGGCAAGAACCAAGCCATGGCCCCGACACGTCTCACAGCTGGACAGCAAACCAAAGATGGCCGACGCGTCACAGCTGGACAGCAAACCAAAGATGGCCGACGTGTCACAGCTGGACAGCAAACCAAAGATGCCGCCGACGCCCGCTGCACAAGCTGGACAGCAAACAAAGATGGCCTGCACGTGACCGACAGCCAGCGCACAGCAAAACAAAGATGAACGCCGCACGGTCACACGCTGGACAGCAAACAAAGATGCGCCCCGACGTGTCACAGCCTGAAACAGCCAAGCCTATAGTCGCCCAGCTAGATCTCTTTACTCTTCACACAAATGCTCTCCACATGACCCATGTAAATATTGTTCGTTTATAATCTACGTGAATGTTCCTGGTGCTTGCTGATGCCAGCTTACGTCCAGCCCGCTCGCCCCCAGCCATCATCGGATGCTTCCATCATCAGCTAAACTAGCGATGGCCGCGGCGCCCGGCCGCCGCCCGGCCCGCCCCCCGCGCCGCGCGGGGCCGCGCCCGCGCCCGGCCCCGCGGCCGCACGGCGGCGCCCCCGCCGGGCCCGGCTGCCCATCGACCGACTTATATCAACTAACATCACGCAACTGATTCTACGCTGCTATCTCTGTATCAACATTCCCTTGATGACACATCCCCGCACGTTTCCTACTGTTTGTTCTTGTTTTTTTAATTTATATTGGTGTTTTTTTATTGGTGTTTTATTTTATTGTTTTATTATTTATTATTTATATTATATTTTTATGTCTTAATGTTGACGAAGGAGCCACTGTAAATAATTATCATGGGTAACGACAAATATAGCGATTACTATACGAAATACCAGGCGTGCCCGAAATTAATGCCCGAGTCCGTCGTCCGGTCAAATACGCCCTGAATTTACTGTCGGACTTCCCTGATTTGACATTACTTGCACGCGAGCTCCGTGCCTGACGCCCTGAAAATTCTGCTGAAACTTAGCTTGCTGCCAGAGCCTACGGCCCTCCTTATTATTCCACGCCCGAAATTACGCGATATTTTTTCAGGCTTGTGTCAAAGAAAATTATGGCAGACGGTGCCAACCACATATGCCATCTTCAAAATAAGAACATGCAGTTATTTGCTTAATATCTTGAGTTTTGAACTTTCAGAGGACCAGGAGAGACGGGACATGCCCGCCCCGACTACCCTCATTTTGCAACGCCGACTCTCCCTCTTTTTGAGCGCCAGGGAGTCCGTCGGACTCCCTTGTTCAAAAGTTAATTTCTACCCGTGTATACGATGCGATGTGATGGTTGTCTTGTCAGGATGTGGCACGGCTGATCGCGGGCAGCCGCGACAACAACGACTTCCTGGCTTCCTTACTCAATGGGGAAAATTCCTCCCTCATCCCAGCGTTGCTCGGCTCCCTGCTGCGTGAGGACGAGGCCGGGGCCGCCGCAGCGGGGGAAGCCCTGACGGCGTTGGTGGCGCCCCCTCTACACGGCGACGCCAGTATTGCCAGAGCCAAGCAGGCAAGTAGGAATGTGTAACATTTTTCTGTTAATATATACTAAAGGATATATATATATATATAATAAAGAAGTTTACAGGATACATTATTCACGGTACTCCGTCATTAATTTGCATCGTACTGTGTGTTGTTTGAACGTGGATGTGTAGCTAAAGAAGCTGCCGAAGGTTAAATGCATGTTTTCGGCCTTAATTACGCTTTGAATAATTTACTCTGGGTTATTTTATGTTTTTGTGTGTTTTCCTGTTGAATGTATTTGCTGTGATATAATGAGCTGAATTCGTTGTTAATAGTTACTTTATGTTTTCGTCCACATAAGCTGGCCGTATCCCTGGCCAGCCAGCTGATGGGACCCCACCAGGAGGCGCTGTTCGCTTGTCTTTCCTCGCGGCTCGCCAATACGAAGACGGCGGGAAGCGTGCTGAGACTTCTGCAGTGCTGCTGTGAGGGGGAGCCACGTGCCTTCAGCGTGCTACTGCAGCGGCCAATGATCTACCGCCAGCTGTACAACTGTCTCCTGAGTGTGAGTGTGACACGACATGTTACCAGACCTGCCAACCCTTACGATTTTTTCGTATTCCTCAAGAATTCCATGATGTTTCTACGAATGTACGATCAAACNCGACTTTATCATGCTGATCCGTGAGAGAAGCACGTTAAGAGAGCGGGGTGTAAAAGTTTGAAGCGCGTTGCTAGATCCGGAGCATCGCCCGTCATCAGTCCAGTGACGTGCGAGGTTTCAGCGTCAGCGTTCACCGTGGCTCCATCTGTTGCAGGAGGAAAGCAACGATGCGATTCTCCTCTTCGTCTCTCTCCTAGATGGAGAGGCGGGGAGTCTTCCTGACGGAGAGATGGGAGCAGAGCTGCTGGAAGAAGCTGAAGCCATTCTGCATCGTGGTGATGATGCGGCTGATCGCGGCACAGGAGGAGGAGGGGAGGGATGCTCAGCATCCCTCATCGTGCGTAAACTTATCCCCCCGCCCGCCGATTATTTATAACCCTCCTGGTGGTGATTAGTATTGGCATCGTTACTATTAATTATACTAATTATGTTTATTTTCGTCTAGACGTGAGCGGCAGATGTCAAATTATAAGGCTCGATTAATTTTAAATGTTTGTTAAAACACTATGAATGTGAACAAAGTAAATTTAATAGATGTGGATTAATTTCATTTTGAATTCATTTTAATCATTATGTGAAGCGTGGATATATTTCATCGTCGTCTGGTATTAGGGTAATTAATGTTAAAATTGTAATTATTAGCTCATCTGACGTAGTGAGGTGCAGCTTGTAGAATCGCGTGATTGTCCGTGCGTCTAAACAAGAATAAAGAAGACTTATGTATAAGACGTCTTGCTATGCACAAATGAATTTATCAGCAGAACACCACACACCAGATGAGCCCTGTCACACTGCGGCACTTGTTTATGTCTGTTATAGTTTTCTGCTGCCTGCTTGCTGAGTGAACTGTACAGATTAGGTGTTCGCAGTGAGCTGGGGTTGCAGGAGGTGGCCGTGAGCCTTACCAAGGCATTCCCATCATTCACGAGCGTGAGTAACATCAACTGATGCAGCGGTCACGCGACAGATAGGCCTGTCTGTGGTCCGGTATGGCACCAGCCAGTCTTTATGCACCAGTATAATTTTTATTACACCATGACTCCCTCAGTTGCTGAATTGTGTTACATCAGAATCTGCTTTAGTTAGAGCTTTTGTACATGATTTTAAAATTTTATCATGCAGTAGCTCCATTTGTTGTTGGATTTTATTTTTATATTTTTTAGATCTGATTTTGCTCTATCCAGAGTTCTTGCACGATTTTGCCTTTTCCTGTTTAACATCGGTATAGCATACGATCTGGTCGTATCGGTCATTTTTCGCTTGCTTTTTGTATCATTTGCTCATTTTCGTCATGGTTTTACGTCACATACGTACGTGCGTGTCTTGTGCTTTCAGGTGGTGGCAGAGTTCAGGCTCTCTAGCATGCGTTGGTTGCCATGCGGACGTGGCATACTGGATGGAGTCATCATGACACTACAGCACATCGTTGCTCAGGTAACGTACTCAGCAACTGTCTCATCTACACGTAACATGAGTCACACCTAGTTCTACTAACATACTCAGCAACTGTTCTACTAGTTACTAGTTACTAGTCTAGTACTAGATATTCTTTAACACTAGTTAAAAGAAGAGTAGTGTGCAGAGATCCATCTTCCCCTCTTTATGAATCATAGAAGAGTAGTGTGGCAGAGATCCATCTTCCCCTCTTGAATACATAGAAGAGTAGTGTGCAGAGATCCATCTTCCACTCGTTTATGAATCATAGAACGAGTAGTGGGGAGATCGCATCTCCCCCTCTTACTGAATCATAGAAAAGTAGTGTGCAGAGATCCTCTTCCCGCTCTTTACGAATCATAGAAGAGTAGTGTGCAGAGATCCATCTTCCCGCTTAACTGCATGCAATATGAAGAGTAGTGTGGGCAGAGATCTCATCTTCCCCTCTTTATGAATCATAGAAGAGTATGTTGCAGAGATCATCTTCCCTCTTTATGAATCATAGACAGAGTAGTGTGGCAGGCGATCCATTCTCCCTCTTGATTGCATCATAGAAGAGTAGTGATGGCAGAGATCCATCTTCCCTCTTTATGAATCATGAAGAGTAGTGTGGGGCGAGATCCATCATTCCCCTCTTTAGAATCATAGAAGAGTAGTGTGCTAAGATCGCCTTTCCCTCCTTTATGAATTCATAGAAGAGTAGTGATGCAGAGATCCCATCTTCCCCTCTTTATGAATCATAGAAGAGTAGTAATGGCAGAGATCGCATCTTCCCTCTTATCGAATATAAGAGTATAGTATGCAGAGATCCATCTGCCCTCTTTATGAATCATAGAAGAGTAGTGTGAAGAGATCCATCTTCCCTCTGCTTACAGATCATAGAAGAGTAGTTGCCAGAGATCCATTCTTCCCCTCTTTATGAATCATCGAAGAGTAGTGTGGCAGAGATCATCTTCCCCTCTTTTATAATCATAGAAGAGTAGTGTGCAGAGATCCATCTTCCCCTCTTTATGAATCATAGAAGAGTAGTGTGCAGAGATCCATCTTCCCCTCTTTATGAATCATAGAAGAGTAGTGTGCAGAGATCCATCTTCCCTCTTTATGAATCATAGAAGAGTAGTGTGGCAGAGATCCGTCTTCCTCCTCTTATGAATCATAGAAGAGTAGTGTGCACGAGAATCCATCTTCCCCTCTTTATGAATCATAAGAAGAGTATTGCAGAGATCCCATCTTCTCTCCCTCTTTATGATCATGAGAGATAGTGTGCAGAGAGTCATCTTCCCCTCTGTTATGAAATCAAGAAGAGTAGGTATTGCAGAGATCCATCTTCCCTCTTTATGAATCATAGACAGAGCTAGTTGTGCAGAGATTCCATCTTCCCCTCTTTAATATCATGAGAAGGAGATAGCTTGACAGAGATCCATCCTATCCCGCTCTTTTGAATCATAGAAGAGGTAGTGTTGCAGAGATCGCATCTATCCCGCTCTTTATAATCACTAGAAAGTAGCTGTGCAGAGAGATCCATCTTCCCTCTTTATGAATCATAGAAGAGTAGTGTGCAGGAGATCCATCTTCCCTCGTTATGAATCTATAGAAGAGTAGGTGTGCAGAGATCCATCTTCCCTCTTTATGAATCATAGACGACGTAGTGTGCAGAGATCCATCTTCCTCTCTTTATGAATCATAGAAGAGTAGGTTGCAGATGATCCATCTCCCCTCTTTATGATGATAGAAGAGTAGGTGTGCAGAGATCCATCCTTCCCTCTTTACTGAATCAATAGAAGGAGTAGTGTGCAGAGATCCATCTTCCTCTCTTCATGAATCTAGAGAATAGTGTGCAGAGATCGCATGCTTCCCCTCTTTATGATCTCATAGAAGAGTAGTGGTGCAAGATCCACTCTTCCTCTCTGTTATGGAATAAGAAGGAGTAGGTGTGCAGAGAGCATCTTCCCCTCTTTATGAATCATAGAAGAGATAGTATGCAGAGATCCATCTTCCCCTCTTTATGAATCATAGAGAGTAGTGTGGCAGAATCTCCATCTTCGCTCTCTTTATGAATCAAGAAGAGTAGTGTGGCAGAGATCCATCTTCCTCTCTTTTACGAATCATAGAAGAGTAGGTGGGCAGAGATCCATCTTCCCCTCTTTATGAATCATAGAAGAGTAGTGTGCAGAGATCCATCTTCCCCTCTTTATGAATCATAGAAGAGTAGTGTGCAGAGATCCATCTTCCGTTCTTTATGAATGACAGGAGCGGTGCGGTGGTGGAAGCAAGCTTCTGGCTTCACAGCTGTGGGAGTTGCTATGGCGATGCATCAGCTCAACGATATGTCACGCCGACCGCATCGACACCTGGCTCGCCGTGTCACCACGCCCCCTGGTGGCGCTGCTGCGGCTCACCACTGCCACCTACACCGCGGCGCCGTTCGCGCTGTCGCTCGCAATGGGAAGGATAGATGGCGCTGTGATGGTGGCGATCGCGACGATGGTGACGGAGGAGTTTTTGGAAAGCTTTGATTTGAGGTAAACCTCAGAACAGCAACGTCTTGGTATGTTTGCTCGTTATTATGTAGATGATGTAGATACACATCCAATCCTGTATTAGCGGACACCTCTCTAGAACGTTCACCTGTCTATAAAGGACATATTATTGGCAGTTATACAGTGAAACCACCTCTATAGAAGGGACACCTGTATTTAACGGTCACTTTTGAGGTTTTCCTTGCGTCATCTTTATGTGATGTACAGGTTTGACTGTAGTTTGAGGTATTGCGAGTTACAAGTATTTGATTATTAGTTGGAAGTATATTAGTTTAAGTTATTTAGTTAGTATTGAGTTATTCCGCATGCCGTTTTTACAGGTGCGCTGAAGTCGAGTGTGGGGACCTGACGTGTGAGTTGATAGATGGCGCCACTCGCCTTCTCTGCTTCCCCTTTGGCGTCGACACAAATGACTCAACGCTCACGAGTCTCTGCGTGTGAGTCCTCGCATGTTCACTTGTTTCTTCAGCATTTCACTGTAACATCGGTCATTATTGTCTTGTTGTTTTTAGCATTGCGTTGGATGTTTGCACGGTTCGTCATGTTGCTTTCTCTCTCTGTCTAGCTGCTACCAGTATCACAATGTGTGCGGAAAACTATTGAACATCTGCAGCAAACATGCGACCAACGTCGGCTTGATATTCAAACTCATCTGCCGCCTGGTGGCAGAAGACGGCGAATTTGCTAATCAGTTTGCTTCAGCCATGAACAACAGCAAGGTGTGTATTACAGGCCATGCGTCGCTCAAATAATACATAATTGCTACGATTATGTGTACAAAATATTAATTAATAATGCTTACGTAATATAAACGTACGAGTAATAATCACTAGACGATTATTTAGTTAATTGCTCGTTATTAAAGTTATTTTAGCAGTCGGTGGCTTCAGTGATTCTTCATCGGTTATATATAATTTTGTGTATTATCGAGATATTCGCTTATGGATTTCAGACAAAGGAGTTGGTGCGTCGGTTGGTGGGGGAGCCACCGTCCACGTCTGTTCTCTCAGACGTGCTGGGAGTTCTGAGTCAACTGGCCAGAGCGTCTCCCATTCATCTACCTCTCATAGCTGAGGTGATGTCAGCGGACAATGCAGGTCAGTATATTTACAGTCTAGGAAATAGCTACCTGAAAGAGAATATATATATTAGTGGAGCGCAGGTATGTGTAAATATTAAGAAGAATTGTGGGTTTAACAGTTTAACATCATACACGCCAAATTTGTTGCTTTTACCACGAAACCCACAATTCATTCACATATCTGCCCCATTATATATATATAGTCTGTCTTGGAAATGAGTTTGAAAACCCAGCCAGTCCTGCTTTTGAAAACTAATTTCTATATAGTAGGTCTCACGGGAGAGATAGTGATCCGCTAGATGGCGCATTATTAGTGTGTTGTGGATATAGAAATCAGTTAACCCTAACCCTAATCCTAATCCTAACCCTAACCCTAATTCTAAAATAAAATAAAATTAGCCAAAAATCATAAAAATAAATAAGAGACAAAATTAGCCAATCAGAGCCGTCAGAGCGGATCACTATCTCTCCCTTGTGCAAAATTTATTTCTATAGTGCTATAGTATAATCCATCTAAATTATGTCGACACCATCTAGACACCCGACTGTGATTATGTTGCCGTGGCGACTACGTGTCTGCAGGTCGCTGGGTCGTGGTGCTGCGTCACCATGACAACGAGGTCAGGGCCAGAGCGTGCAGTCTGCTAGGCAACATGATGAAACATTGCGACCGTGTCTATGCCATGCTGATCAACAGGTATGTCTCAGTGATGGTGACAGGTGCGTGTCAGTGATGGTGACAGGTGTGTGTCAGTGATGGTGACAGGTGCGTGTCAGTGATGGTGACAGGTTCGTGTCAGTGATGGTGACAGGTGTGTGACAGGTGCGTGTCAGTGATGGTGACAGGTGCGTGTCAGTGATGGTGACAGGTACGTCTCAGTGATGGTGACAGGTGCTCATCGGGTCTATGTCCACCAGGGGTACTGCCGAATGTCGGGTACCGGTCGGTATCCGGAAGTCCTGGTCATATTTGATATGGTTGGTTAGCGATTAGGGTTAGGGGTGCGCGTAGGCGACTCCTAGACTCGTTAGTGGGTAGGCGAGGTACGGTCTGCATATCTATATGTACAGCGGTACGGTTTCGGTATACGGGACCGTCCCAGAGTACGTTCCGGCAGGTACCGGGGGCACGACCTTTCAGCGACAGTAACACGTACAGCCGCGCTTGCAGCACCGTGTGTTGGACGGATAAGTTATGTGATGCGTTTACTTCGGCGTGACATGAGGGATGACTGAGATCGGGTGTATCGTTACCAGTGCTGCCTGTTGCTCAATCTCCAAGGCTGGGACGCGCGCCAGGGTGGTGCCGACGACGCCCGCACCTGCACCCGATGCTCGCTGGCCGGGGGTAGAGACGTGACTGTGAGGTTGCTGCTGCTGTGCTGTGTGCTGCGGCGGGTGCTGCTGCTGCGGGCAAGGAGGACCTCGCGCGCCCCAAGTGCCACCATCTCCTGCGGGACACAAAGTGAAACCATGCAATATGGCCGATTACATCGAAATTACGCGCACATACGTTACAGCCTCACGATTGTTTAAACATGTACACGCACGTTAGATCACACGTTTAGCTTTGCGACATTGCTTTAAATTGTCATGAGTCTATACTCGGCGTCTTTAAACTGAAATGTTTGCACACCCCAAAACACATCCTTTGCGCTGTGGGTGTTTTGATGTCACACATGGTGCAGAGTACGCAGTATCTTTTTAGAATAACTTGGTTTTAATTACTTCCACACTGTGCGTGCATACGACGCGACACACACGTTGTTCTCAACGCGACATCTGGTGGTCATATATCATACCCTGCACACGAATACGTGTGGTTGGTATTCAATTGAACAGTATTGTCAGTGTAGGTTTGAAAGCTAATGGAAGTTATATATCGTTAATGTTATCTAATGGTCTATAGAATATGCAAGAGTAGTAATACACTGGTTATTATCTACTTTGATTAAATACTTGAGTCGAAACTAGTGACAGAGACGTACTCAATTATACAGCCCTAAAGACAGGCACACACACACCAGACCATGCTTACCTTGCTCAGACACACGCACGCACGCACGCACGCAGCACGCACACACACAGACATTGCTTACTTGCTCGCACACGCACGCACGCACGCATGCACGCGCCGCACGGAGGCACGCACGCACAACCCAGGGCATGCTTCCTTGCTCGAGCAGCACGCACGCACGACGGCGCCACACCGCCCACACACACCACCGGCATTGTTACGTGGTCGTGTGTCGTGGGCGGTGAGCTGTCAGTTGGTGAGGACAGCCGCCTGCATGCGCCTACTGAGTGTCGCCTGCACGCGCACGGGACAGTAGCCCCCACAGTGCAGCATCGACTCGTACATCACGGTGGTGTTGCACGCAGTTACACAGGCCCCTGCAAGCGATCAACGCGTCCCAGTGTTACCACACACGCCTGCATACGGCATCCGCATCAGTGTTACAACACGCCGACCGTGCAACGATCACCGGCATTGTTCAGTGTAACCACACGCCCTGCAACGATCATATCAACGCAGTCATGTGTTAGCACACAGCCCCTGCAACCGATCAACTGCACGTCCACGTGTCAACAAGCCCTGCAAGATCAACGCAGTCGTTGTTCCGACACGCCCTTGTTGCCACGATTCAACCGCAGTCGTACAACATCGCCGCACGATCAACGCAGGTCAGTGTTAACACACGCCCCATGCAAGATCAACCGCACCATCTCAGTTACACGTCGCCCCCATTGCAACGATCAACCGCGTCAGTGTTATAACCAACCATGCCAACGATCCCGCGAAGTCAGTGTTACAACACGCCGCCTGCAGATCTCAACCGCAGTCGTCTGTTAACAACACACGGCCCCTGCGTAACGTCAACGCAGTCAGTGTTACACACGCCCTCTGCACGATAACCCGTCAGTGTTACACCACGCACTCCCATTGAGCCGATCAACCGCAGTCGTGGTTAAACACCGCCCTGCACTTCCGCAGTCAGTGTTAACAGCCGCACGCCTGCACGAGGTCAACCGCACGAGGTTCAACAGTGTTACACGCGCCGTGCCACTCAACCGCAGTCAGTGTCACACACGCCCTGCAACGATCACCGCATCAGTGGTTACACACTACGCTCCCTGACGATCAACCGACAGTCGTCGTCCACGCACCCTGACGATCACGCATTCAGTCGTACCACAAACCCCGTGCAACGCATCAACGCGTCATCTAGTACCCCCAAGCAGTGTTACACACCGCCCTGCAACGATGCAACGCCAGGTCAGTGTTACCAGTCTGCACATGATCACAGCAGTCAGTGTTACACACGCCACTGCAACGATCAACCGCCAGTCAGTGGTACCACACCCCTGGAACGATCACGCATGTCGGTGTACACCACACCTGCAACGATTCAACCGCAATCCAGTGCGGCGGGGGTACACATTGCCCTGCAATGACTACCGCAGTTCAGCTGTTACACACACGCCCCTGCACGTGTCCCAACAGCAAGCAGTGTTCCCGCACACCCGCGTGCTGCAACGACAACGCAGTCGTTGTTCACACACACCCTTGCAACGTCAACCGCAGTCTGTGTTACACACACGCCCTGCAAGATTCACCGCAGTCATGTTCGACAACCCTGCACAACGATCACCGCAGTGTGTTAACACACGCCTGCCAGCGATCAACGCCGTCGTGTTTCACGCCCTGCAACGATCAACTGCAGTCCAGTGTTACACACACGCCCAGCCAACGTCAACCGCCGTTCAGGGTTACACAACCACCGTGCACGATCACGATCAGTGTTACACACACGCCCTGCAACGATCAACGCGTCAGTGTTACACACACGCCCTGCAGACGATTCAACCGCAGTCAGTGTTCACACACGCCCCCTGCAACGATCACCGCGTCGTGTTACACGAAGCGCCGTGCAACGATCGAACGCAGTTCAGTGTTCACACACACCCCTGCAACGATCACGCAGTCAGTGTTACACACGCCCCTGCAACGATCAACGCAGTCCAGTGTTACACAAACCCCTGCAGCGAGCACACAGGTCAGTGTCACACACCCCGGACGATCAAAACAGTCAGTGTTAACACACGCGCTTCTGCCGATCAACCGCAGTCGTGTTACCCACACGCCCCTGAACGATCACCGCAGTCAGTGTTAACCACGCGCCCCGGCACGAGATCAACCGCAGTCAGTTGTTACACACACACCCCTGCACCGATCAACCGCAGTCGTGTTACACTCACACCCTGACCGATCAACGCAGTCAGTGATACACGCCCGGAACGATCACCGCGTTCAGTGTTACAAACACACCCTTGCAACGATCACCGCAGTCAGTGTTACACACCCCGTGTAACGATCAACCGCAGTCGTGTTACACACACCCTGGCAACGATCAACCGCAGTCAGTGTTACACAACGGCTCCTTGCAACGGATCAACGAGATATGTTGGTTCGTATATTGATGTTGTCCCTTGGTGTTACTGCAGCGTTGAGACGCGTTTTTGCGAGTACAGGTCGGTGGTAGAGCTGTGAGGGCCACACAGATGGCGCCAGCAGTCCGTACAGCGCATGCTGTGGCAGAGGCTTGCGACGGCACGCGAGCGTTCTTCTCACGCTGGGGTCCCTGCTCGCGTAGACCGGCGCGAGATTCTCCAAGCATGCTCGGGCCGTATTCATGAAACGACTCACGGTGTGACATTAAACTGGTGATGGATCGGAGCAGATGGTCTATTATATCACATTGCATTGCTGTAGACTTATATTATTGCAGTGCTGTATGTGCATTATATTACTTGCTTGCTGTATGTTGATTTGAGATTACATTGGCATTGCTGGTATGTTGATTTATTACCTTGCATTGCTGTATGTGATAGATTACATTGCGTTGCTGTATGTTGCATTTAGATTACAGTGCATTGCTGTATGTTGATTTATTACATTGCATTGCTGTATGTTGCTTATGTTACCATTGCATTGCGAATATGTTGCATTTGATTGACATGGCTTGCTGGTATTGTTGCAATTATATTACATGCATTGCTGTATGTTGCATTAGATTACTTGATTGCTTTGTATATCGATTATTTCATGTATTCGTGTATTGCACTGTTATTGCTTTGCAGGACAGAGATGAGGTTGTCGTTAACTTCTTCCTCATAGAGTGATGTCATCTCACTGTACCTATCCTCCTGTTCATCATCACTGTACTACCTCACTGACACGCCCTTGTAACCATCACTGAATGCACCTGTACGATCTGCACACACCTGTCACATCACTGTCACACCACTGTCACCCTCACTGCAAGACTGGTCACATCACTGACACGACCTGTCACATCACTGACAGCACTGTCACCATCACTGTCCAAAACTTGTGTTTTTTTCTCCATCACTGACACGCACCTGTTCACGACATCACTGACACGACTGTCCCATACTGTACGCACCTGTCACATCTGTCCAACCTGGTCACCATCACTGTCCCGACCTGTCCCATCATTTGACCGCTGTCACCAGACTGGACACGCACTGTCACCATCACTGTCTTACACAGCGTTACATTCACGTTCCCTTCCAACAGAAACGATGAACCCATGAAATCGATTTTTTTTCACCAAAGCGGCCCCGCTGATGCTAATTCCAAAATATTACTACCTATATTCGTCCTACTCAGACCGCAACGAGAGAACGTCTTCTGTCCGATGTAAATCACCCCAATCAATACACATAACAACAATCACATACAATAAGAGTCAGTATGAAGTCGTAGGAAAAAGTAACGTAAAGTCTCACCATATAAATCATAATCACCATTTGGCAATGACATTTGATTCCGGCATGCATTATCTCCAATCTCTCCTGCGTAGTTTTATGGCTGTAACGTAGTGGCAAACGATGTACCAGACGCTTACGAAAACGTGTATACTGTTATTCTCTAATCCCGGGCAACGGGGCATGCACAAGGAGTAATAAACGGCATGATGGGGTATTCACTTCATACGGCACGAAATCATTCATTATCATCCATCATACTGATACATTAGACAGCAAATTACGCAAAACTGATTTCTTATTTTTCGATGAAATGTTTTGAGCTATAATAAACTTCTGATTTGAAAATGTCGACTGTTCCGCGGTCCTACTATCCAGTGGAAACGTACCGGGTCAACTGGTTAGCACAAATTCAAGAAACGATACATTTCTAACCAAAGTTTACAACAAAGATTTTCCACGACCAAAAAATTTAGAAGCATATATCATGAGAATATCCACGCCTTATAAACACAAGCATAAACATACATATTACGTACATAATGTTGTTAATTAAGCGTGTGAACAATTAACTGTGTCGGTTCCTTATTCAAGTTTTAATCCCGCTCGGCCAAGATGTTACCTCGACATAATAACATCACCCTTGAACTAAACAAGTTGGGATAAAAAACGTTATGGTGGCATGTTGCATGGGGTTACAGGAAACCTTCGATATTAACGTTTATAACTAAGTTTTTCCTTTAATATGAAGAAGCCGACACGATTGATTCAATACCTTTTTAATATTTCGTCCCGTCTCTCTTGCGTCTTGTGGTCGTCGTGACTGGATCCTCTCGTCTTCGTTGAAATGGTATTGTCTGTTCTCGTCATTCGCTCTCCGTTGATAAGACGTTGCATGACGACGCGGCCGTCAGCACAGTCCTTCTCCCGATCTCCAGGCGATTCGTCGCCATGTCATCGTCGTCGGCGGCTAGGCAGTATGCATGGCTCCATCTCATACGACGCACTCGCTCTTCCGCCTTCCTCTCTCGTCTCCGTGCCGTCTCGCTGTTTCGTTGCTGGCCCGTATCGAGATAGTGTTTTCGGTATATCTCTCCTCTCTATTCGGAAACTATCTCTTTTCGTCATTCGTCCTCTCTCGTCTTCCGTCATATTCTCTGCTTTCGTTGCCTGGCCGCGTTCGATATGAGTAACGTGGTTATGTCCACAGAAGGATACCAGATTTTGGACTGTCGACGGCCACCAAATGTAACGACGGAATTAAGGTTCATGCCTGAATGACTGTAGAAACGATCCAAACTTGATGGTGGTACTGTATACTTTTAATAATGATAACTGTGTACGCCCATCTATCGGCATGCACAACAGACAAGCCGCGCACAGCGCGGAGCGCGTGGCTACTTGTGACAACCCAGAATCCCCTCTCTTTACATCCCTTCTCTATATTCCCCCAAACGCCTACACCACATGCCCCCACATGCTACCCGTTCTGTCCAGTTTCAACCGTTTCCGTCATTTTCACAGATCACCCTAGAACTGCCTAACATAACAGTCTGCTTATCCCAGTACTGCAATCAGCCGCGATCTGGTTGGCGAGGATGTCTAGCGGGACTATTAGCTAAACAAACTACCAGTCTATCTCCATCGACTAATCAATTGAACATGTGTTAAACACGCGTTAACCTGTCACTCACTGCACGGCACGTGTCCCATCACTGTCACGCACCTGTCACCATCATGACACGCACCTGTCACCATCATGAAAGTACCTGGCTCACCATCACTGAAAACCTGTCACACCTGACACGCCACTGTCACATCATGCATGCACTGTCACCATCACTGTCAACACCGGTTCACCATCACTGACCACGGCACTGTAACCGTAATGTCACACACCTGTTCACATCATGACACGCACTGTCACCATGCACTGACAGACTGTCACCTCACTAGTCACGCACTGCACCATTCCTGTCACCACCTGTTCACCTCACTGTCACGCGCTGTCACCCTCCTGACGCAGTGTCACTCATGGACCGCACCTGTAACCATACTGACACGACCTGTCCATCCTTGTCACACTGTCACCATACTGACAAG